CTGAATTTTGTTGGCTGTTCAATGTGTACTGTTTTTAGTTATCGAAGTTGTGAGGGATTATTCTAACACATATAAAAAAACTGAATGATTTTTTAAGAAGGTTTGTAGTCTCAATTGAGATCAGGATATAGCCATGTGCTTAACAGTTAATTGTCACTTATTAACGCGTGACAATGTGTGCCCAAACTGTAGATCCACGCCCCGTGACGTCGCCCATCTGTTTTCATGCCCCAATGCACACACTAATTTAAGTACAATTGACTTTTGGACTCGTCCCCTTGAGGTAGCTAGGTTTCTTCGGCTGGATCCTGGTTAGTTTCAAGTTATACCCCTCTTTCCCTTCCTTCATTCCCTGTACCACAACCCCACCTAACCACACACCACTCCATGTATACGTCTTGTTATCCTTTCACGTTATCTGCTTTCAGGTCCCGGCGGGTTACAACACCAACCACATAAGAAGATTCGAGGTTCCAAAAGTGGGCACGTTGAAGTCTGGGACACATTGTTGTTGTTGTCGTAACTCGTTGGGTACTGCTTGCAGATTCCCTTTGGATGTGGTGAACGGCACTCGGTCGAGTGGGTCCGAGACGTAAACCATGCCGTTCTTAAAACCTGGGAAACATGCATCTATCTTAACGACCAAGCGCCACTCATCACTACCAACAATACATATTACAGGCCATATAATCGCATTTGTTGTTGCTATAGATCACGCCGATTGCGCAGCCCCATTGGGGTGTGGTGAATTGGTCGTAGCAATTGATGAATGGCTCCCGGACGTAGACCCGGCCGTTCTTAGGACCATTTGTATCTTAAATTCTTTTCTTGTCATATTACTTAATTGTAATAGTCTAACAGGTATGATTTCAGAAACTGCAACATTTATTATTGCATGTAATAGTCTTTACAATATACAAAAGGCAGACCATATAAGATTCTTGTCGGAAAAAAGAGTATATATATAAAAGTATATATATTGGAAATAATCTATATTAATAATTAAACATTTTTTGCTTCTGTTTCTGGATATTTGAAGTTATATTATTTCAGATCATTTTTGTTTGAGTTTAAGTCAAAAGTTAAAATAAAGCCGTGACCAGAGTACGTGGCAAGAAGCAGTGATATTAACTACTAATCGGTGCAGCGTTACTTGGGAATAACGCTTCAATCAAGTCTTGAAAAGTCTTGAATATAGCATACTTGTTACAATAATTCGTATCTATTATAAACGTAATTATTTGTTAATAGTAAATTTGTTAATGTTAGCATAAGGCAAATTTTTTTCTAGAATTCAAGAATGGTATGAACTTCTCTTATTTGAAAACAATTTGAGCTATTGAGCCCAAATTAAGAAATGAAGTCTATGCTCTCCAAAATAAATATTATTAGGAATATCCTGATAGTCGTTGGAATAAAAAAATGCGGTATGTTTTCTGATATAGGCTGTGATCATAACAAGTGTTCAGTGTAGCATTGTTATTTGTGGAATTATAGACTATATTTTCATATAGGACAGAAATATATTACATATTAAACCCTTTAACGCCTAGAAGGAGCATAGGGCCGCAATAGATAAAAATGTCATAGAGGAATTTTGAGCTCCTTAATATTTTTCCTAATAAATATATGTTCTTTATGCACATATATTGCTATTAGGTTAATTAATTAATTTTTTTTTTAAATCAGAAATAAATGAAAATTTTTAATTAATATTTTTGATTTACAGATGATGGCGCCTCCGCTCAAAAATCAAAACAAACAAATGGAGTTTCGAATAAGCAATTGGTACTTAACGGCTATGCTAAGGGTTAGTTTAATTTAAAATTTATAATAAGAACCTTTAAACTTAAATCGAATCATTATTCGAAATCTTAACTAGTGTTTAAATATAAATATAAATTATTCAAAAAAAAAATTTTTTTTCTATTTTTGGACTTTAAAAATACAAATTTTAAAATGAGAGCAGAATTCGGTGAAATCAAGAAACAAAAATTAGATATAGTCTATTAAACCGAATACTATAATGAAGCAAGATGTAAATCGTTTGATGTCTCAAAATGCTATAATTTTCAATGAATTGGACCTAAGTACTAAATATGACTATAAATGTAATTAGAAGGACCTCCCTTGTTTGATATTTTTGGTATGATTGTCAATAAGTTAGTGATTGTATGTAAAAAGTACTTAAATGAAAATGTTACGTGACTTTTATTTATTTTTTTGTTAAATGCAATTTTGAATGAAATATATTTTTGGCTTGAAACTTACTTCAGTTTTAAATATTTTGAAATATTTTGCAATTTAGTAAATAAGTAAAATTAAAATTTTCAATGTTAGTAAAGAAACAAAATTTAAAATATATATTTTGAAGTAAAAACTTTGATGCAAAAATATTGTTGAAAACTTAAGTAACACAACAGAACAGTATCTTTTCTATTAGTGAATTGTATTATAATAACAACTGAATAATAAAAGCAGCTTTATTTATTTACATGAAGATATTTTTATTTTAATATAAAAAAGAAAATCAAAAAAATCTATGTGTAATTTGTAACTGTGTATGTAAAATAAAAATAAACGAATTGTTTAGAGACAATTCAAAAATATTTAGAAGCTTTTTAATTTATAAAAGTAATTCAAAAAAAGAATAACAACAAAAAACAATGTTATAAACTAATTATAAGAGACTACTTTTACCACAACAATACGAAATGATCTTTTACTAGAGATATTAAAAAATGGTTTTTTAGTACGGGTCCAGATATTGTATCTCTTGCATTACTTTCTAACATAAAGACTAATCAAATTCAAGGTTCTGAGTGTTTCGGTGCCATACCAAATAAAATTGTCATCGAAGATCTATATATTCAGTTTTAGGTTTGTCGTTTTATAATATGGTTCATATAACAGCCGCTGAACTTGTTAATAACCGGTATGAAATGAGCGTTTTTTGGTGAAAATAAAACACTAATTATTAATAGGAAAGTAAAAAAAACATTTTATTCAAAGTATTGGCCATTGCTTTCTACACTTTTTGACCACCTTTCTGGCAATTTGTGGATACCACGCCAAAAAAATTGTTCGTCTTTTAAAGCAAACCAACCAGACACCCAATTTTCGACCTCCTCGTAGGAATCAAAGTGCTGCTCAGCCAATGCGTGTCCCATCGATGAAAACAAATGGACAAATGGTGTTTTGATTGCATCCTGAACCCGTTTTGCTTTGTGTGCAGGTGCATTGTCATGGAACAGAATTACCTTGCCGTGTCTTCTGGCCCATTCTGGTCGTTTCTCGATCAATGCATGGTTCAAATTTATCATTTGTTGTTCATAGCGACCAGCATTGACGGTTTCACCAGGTTTTAGGAGCTCGTGGTACACCACACCTTTCTGGTCCCACCAAACACACAGCATTGTCTTCTTGCCAAATCGATCTGGTTTTGCAATCGATGTTGATGGTTGATGGTTGTCCCGGATTAACCTGATCCGTGATTTTTTCCGTTTAGGATTCTTAAAATAAATCTATTTTTCATCGTCAGTAACAATCCGATGCAAAACCGATTTACTTTCGTGTCTTTGAAGCAAAATTTCACAAGTGTTTTTTCGGTTTTCCATCTGTCTTTCATTTAATTCATGTGGCACCCATTTTCTACACTTTTGGATCTTTCCCATAGCTTTTAAACGGTCAGAAATTGTTTGTTGTGCAACATTTAACATTTCTGCCATTTGCTTTTGACCCAAGTGTCATCTCCATCCAATATCGTTTGCAATTCGGCGTCTTCAAACTTTTTTGGCGGTCTTCCACGTTCTTCATTTCTCACATCAAAATCATTATTACTGAACCGTTGAAACCATCTTTTGCTTGTTGCTTCTGATAGAGCATGATCACCATATGCCTCGACAAGCATTCGATGCGACTCTGCATCACTTTTCTTCAAATGAAACAAAAAATTAATGCTTTCTGCAAATCATCACTTTCTGGTACAAAATTCGACATTTTTAACACGATGAAAAAATATGATGTTGTCTGTTCAATGACTTGATGTATACTAAATATATTTCACACATGTCATAGCAAACAAACAAAAAAAAAATGGCTCGTTCACAATAAATGTTCCCTGTCGGAACATTTGTATCTTTACGCTCACTTCATACCGGTACACCTAATATAAAGGCATTATTTCATTTGGCGACACTGTTTCAGTAACATTTGGCAACTATGGTATGGTATATATAATTAGTTTCGGATTTGCCATTTTATAATATGGATCGTCTAACAGCCGCTGAATGTGTTAACATGTTATTATCTATATGCATTTCATGGTCCTAATATGGCAACACTGTTTCAGAGACATATAACGTATAAAATTATCATCCAAGATATATATAGTTTTAGATTTGTCATTTCATAACATGGTTTGTTTAAAAGAAAATGATTGTATAAAACTTTATTCCAAAAATTTTAATTTTGTAGTAAGTACATATTGCATAGAATTTTTTTCGACATGTGAACCAATGATCGTATCTAAGGCGGTGATAATGTAAGCATTTATGGATCGAAACCACTCATTGTCTCAGATAACAAATTATCTTTCGCTGACCAGACCATCTAAGTGAACATGAAATGGGTTGCTATGGGTTACAACAAAAACAAAAGTGTGACACAAAATGTCAATTCCGATCACTACAACTGTATTCCAAGATATAATTCTTAGTATGAAGTTGAAAATATGGGCGTGGAAGCCATGTGGTTTCAACAGGACAGTGCCAAAAACAACAAGTGTCAAAAAATGGGCATAATCTGTATTAAATATCAAAGATAGGTAATTAATATTCAGTCTGAAGTTCCCATTTCTTGATATTTCACTTTGTTGATTTGAAATTTTGAATCAACATAACAGAATCGGTCCAAACTACTAGAATATAACTGGTTTTTTATTATTATTTTTTTCTTAGATATTTTTAAAGTCAAAATTGGTTATTAAATTACAGAAATTATAGCTTTTCTAAAACGAGAGTCATTAAATGTGAAAAAGCACATTTGATTCTATGGAATTAATACGGTACACATTTGATCCTGAAGAATCGAAAGGCAGTATGTTTGATTCCATAAAATTGACTGTGTATACATTTGAATTCAAAAAATTGAATGGGTTTATATTTGCTTCCACAAGATTGTTTGGGTTTAAATTTGGTTCCATAGAATTAACACGATATACACTTGGACCTGAAGGATCGAATGGCTGTACTTTTGGTTCCAGAAAATTGACTATATACATTGGGTTCCACAAAATTGATTGGGTATGTATTTAGTTTCATATCATAGGTTGGACTAAAATTTGGTTATATAGAATTAACACGATATATATTTGTTTCCATACGATTGGTTGCATATTTGGTTTCATATGATTGATTAGGTTTAAATTTGGTTTCACGGAATTGATGAAATATAAGTTTGGTTCCACAGTATAGTAGACTTATTTCAGAGAATTGACTTAGTATACATTTGATATTACAAGATTGATTGGCCGTACATTTGGCTTCATTAAATTAACTGGATATACATTTGATTTTACAGAATTGATTAGGTATACATTTGGCTCCAAAGAAATGATTGGGTATATATTTGGTTTCATATGATTGAGTGGCATCAAATTTGGTTTCACGGATTAGTTGAATATATTTTTTTGTTAAATACAGTGTTGATTGCATATAGATTTGTTGCACAGATTGTCCGGTCTTACATTTGGTTTCACAAAATTGACTGGGTATACATTTGGTTTTACAGGATTGATTAGGTGTAGATTTGGTTCCACAGCATTGATAGGGTATACATTCAAAATCATAGAATTGTCTGTTTAGTTTTACAAAATTGGTTGGGTGATAATTTAGTTATATAGTATTGAAAGCTTATATATTTGATTCCACATGATTGGCAAGGTATAAAAAGCAAGGCTTCAAAATCGAACGTATTTAAATCACTTTAAATGTTTGTTTTTTTAGTTGTTAAATTTCAAGAATTACTAAAATTTAAAGACCACTTACAATTGCTACTATGTTTAAGACAAAGATTGATACTATTTTTACAACTAAACAAATAATTAACTTGACACGATTAAAATCTCTTCAGTTGCTACTTACACAAAATTACGTATTAGATTAACTTACTATATGTGTTAATACAAATGATTTTATACTACTCCACATACACAATATTATGTATAAAATAGTATAACTCACATTTTTAACAGCATTCCAGGAAATTCGACGTAGTTGAATGAGGTAGTTTCAAATTAAACGGCATTTTGTCTATTAATATAATTTACTATACTATAAAAGCTAAGCTAGAATTAATACAAAACTTTAAAAAAGCTTATTGCTGTTTTCATTAATACAATTAAGTCTTTGTACTGTAGCCATTATTTCTAAGTGACTAGCAGTTTCAATACAAATGCTTACAATACAAGTAAGCAATTTAATAAATAATTAACAAAAATGTGTAAACAATTAATGACCACATTGGATTGGTGCTAACCTACACGATAAAAATTCTTAGCTTCATTTCACTTTATTTATTCTTTTCACTAAACTGTCTACCGCGAAGTGTATCCGTACGATAAGTAAATAACCTACAATGAGCGCGGGGAAACTGACAAATGTGGCCAATGCTTCATATATAAAGCGTGGTGCGAATATTTTCCAGACCATTAAATGACGACAGTGTATTGTGCAGGCCATCATAGCACAAAATATCTAAAATAAAAAAGGGCTGATTAAATATGCTCACACAATTCTGTAAGTAGTTTTAATCTTTACCTTTACGCCTTGCAACATGAAAAATTGTGCTGCTAGCTTGAAAACTGTGCCAAGAAATATAGATTCATTTTCGAAAAGTGTTAGTTCTCCACGTGTCATATCAAATCCAACACATTCGTTCGAGATTTCCACAAGCGAACGTGGTTGTGCTGTGTTATTGGCACGCGATTCTAATACTTCTCCTTTGCGAGTATCACGATTTGAGTTAGTTTTAATAAGCGAAGGAAATAGTGCAAAGATGGAGAATGTTTCCGTGCTCAGTAAGCCATATAAGCAAAAGAAAAGTATTTGACCACAGAAAGTATTTAAGATAACTAAAATTCCAGATATAAAATTGGATTGTCCAATGCTGGTTGTACGTCCGACAAAAGCTGCACGCCAATCAATTTGAGATAATGTAGTTTGATGTGAGGTTGCATAGAAACAAAAATGTGCTAAGAGAAACCAACCAACAATAGCAGTAAATGTGGGTTGTATGCATGTCTCTGTAAGGAAAAGATATAAAATTCTTTAGTTCTTTATAATATACAAAATAAAAAAAAATTTGAGACTCACCAAAATTATTTGCAGTTCTATAACGCAAAATGGAATGCACGGATAGTATTACCGCTCCTATCGCTAAGCAGATAATAATGCCGATAGCTGATTTTGGTTCAAGTAGTACTATAAGCATGATTGCTAAAAATACACCAAAAGATATCACAACCGAGGAATAGATAGTGGCAAGACCATAGACTACTGGTATCTCAAAACGTTTTTCAGACTCATCTCCTTCATATATGCGCTTCATTTTTTTAAATATTTCCGGTACAATGCTCTCGCCTCGTTTCACAGTCACAGTGGAATTATTTTTAGGTGGCAACACAAACACCATTAGTGGTGCAATGCTTAGCACAATAATCTGAACTAATAGCAAAGCGTAAATAACCAAAGCCATAGCATCTATATGTGAACGTTGTATATTCTTGACAGAACTGCTTGACAAAAGTATGTGTCCGCCAGCGCATATGGACGCAATGGTCGGACCGTAACGTGCTAATAGTACATTAACAGAGTTCCCCGTCAAATTACCGCAAGAACGCAAATATAAACGTGTAAGTGTAGTGTATAAGACAATAATAACTACAGCCATTAAATAAGCTTTACCGGTCGATGGTTTTTTCAGGGAGAAACCGGTTGAGTTGTTGGAAAAATCTGCACAATTTCCTTGTTCTTCACGACAACGGAACAGCAAAAATGCAAATCGTACGAATACTATAGCCAATATTGTGATGAGTATTAGTTTAAATGTGGCTGATTTTAAGAATTGTGACACCTTAAATTTAGTTTTAAAATCAATACGTACACTTCTCCGTAGCAACTCAAAGACGAGTAATATTAAAACACCAACCAACAGATAGGCCAGTATTTTAGGTTCCTGCACTATAAAGCTATTCGAGAAAAATACGCTGCTTGTGAAGAAAATGATTACGCGCGTCGGCATATTTCCAAAACGTTTAACACCGGACCAATTCAAAGCGATTGTCGACCAATTTTGAAATGTATAGAACATTAATATTAATATGCTCATAATATTCGTAAAAAATATAATGCCATTTTCTTCGGTTTTAAATGAGAAGTTCTTGAAATATCGGTAGCCAAACACGCCAGCTGCCAAATTCAATAAATAAATGTAGGTAATTCCTTTCGCTGTAAAGATTTTGTAAAAATCTCCAGCTCGTGTATTGTTGATTAATAAAAATGTGAAGAAAATAGGTAAGAATGTTATCAGTAATCCCTGTGACATTTGATTTGCATCGAACTTAACCCAAATTTCGCGGCAAGTCTTGAGAACTTGTCGAAGTTGTATGTTTACATCACCGAAAAAGGATTTAAATGCAGCTTCATTGTAGATGGCCTTTACGCGATGCGTCAGTAATATAAACTCTGTATCTAGTTTATCCATATCTTCAACATCGAATGTGCGTTTATTTTCCAGTGCGTAACTATAGAAATATTTATAAATTTGTTGTGCATTCTGCCAAGCGTGTAATAGCAGTACTTGGATTTTATGCATATGTGGTACGACAACATCTGGTACTATATTGAAATTAACTAGACCCAAATTTGAATAAGGTATGGGAATACCTAGGATTGTAGCAAGACTTGGTACCAGATCAATCTAAAATGAAAAAAAATATATATGTTAATAATTTCTTTTTAATAGTTCTAAGCTTTATAATAAAAATTTATATATAATTGTTACATTATACATAATTTTATAATAATAAGATGATTGATAATAATAAGATGATTGACTGTTTAAATTAATAAAAAAATATATAAGATTTTTCCATCTATTTAATCAAGTAAACAATTCAAGTTTATGTCATACAAAGAAACCTATGCTCAAACATACTATCTAGAAAAATGAAGAAGAGATTAAATAGTTTAGGTTAGGTTATACCGGCGATCTCAAGGGATCCACTCAGACCTATAAGCACATTGTGTTACTGTATAATTAAAAACTTAAGGGTTAAAACCACTTAGAAAGCTTATAATGCTACGCAGAGGGAGGTATTGCAGTTCACCAAGATCCTTTAAAAAGAAAGCCCCTATAAATATATAAAGTTGGACTGCAACTGTAGTTACATATGGTGTGAAATATGGCAAATAACGAAAAAGGAAGCAAGCACCAACCTTGAGAAAAACGTTTCGGTGAGAAACACTGCAAGATATAAGTAGCTTATAATACCTTCAATTGTTTAATGAGCTGTTGTTATGTCTAGTGGTGGTAAACTTAAAGGTACTAGGTAAGCATAGGTTATAGCGGGGCAATCCTAAGGATCCCCTTAGGCCTACTGTGTTACCGTATGAAAAAACTCAGAGATTCAGAAACCCCTTGAACCTTTGGCAAAGTTAAAAATGCTTTTTAGTGACAGGTCCCCTAAAATAAAAAACAGTCATATAAAGAATGGTCAGGTCAGTTTTACATTCATTTTTGTCATGATCATGAAGATATGTTATGCAGGCAGTCAAATCACAATTGTCTCAAGTGCCTAAATTTTAAAGGCAATATTTTGCCTGTAGGTACTGGTCATATATATATATATATATTTGATCTCAAAAGATGCGAATTTTAACATTTTTTAGTCAAAAACATTGGTTTTTTGTATGATGAGGTATAAACAGGGGGGTTTGTTTGAGATTTTGAACGTGATAAGGTACAAGAATTTCTATACCATAATAAAGTTTTAATCGGAATTTATCTCTTGCAATCAATGTCAATTTTTTTTTTTTTTGTAAATTTTACATTAAAACAACAATTTCACATTTGATGTGCCCATGATTGTTTGCTGACAGGCCCCTAAGATGAAAAATAAAATTCATATTTATATTAAATCATTCAATAAGCCTTAAATAAAGTCAAATTTTCCGAAATAGATAAAAATATTAATTTTATCAAAAGGTGAAATACTACACGTACAACCTCTTATCTTTTTTTTAGTTAGAAACGTCAGTTTGTTTAAAATTTGATTAAAATGACGTCATAAGATATATGTACACATATCGAAATACGTGTGCTTAGACTCTTAAACTAGTGTAAACATTAAAATTTAATATTATCACTAACCTGTTGCAGTATTTCTTTATCTGAACCATAGCTACTGCTGATAAACTCATTATGTTTGGAATAAGCAAACAACAGAGCATTTGTTTCATCATCAGTATCGCCGCCATGATCACCCGAAGCAGTCATACCATGATCTCCCATTACAAATAGCGTAGTATCATTATCCATTTTATCAATAACCATTCTATAAAAAATAATAATCAATCAGTTATCAAAGTTTTACTAATTAAATTTCACTAACCTTATAACATTGTTCATTTCGGTTAGCTTACGTGCCATTTCATGGTGCATAGGTCCATGCTTATGTCCACAATGATCAACGCCCAAAAAATGTGCAATTAACACTTGCCAATCTGATTTAACCAATTCATTAGGTAAGTGTTTTTCTATTCTCGTATCAACTGTATCCAAATCGAATATATCAAAACTAGGATATGCATATGTACGTTTAAAACGACGTGGATACAAATCTGTCCAAGTACTATCACCCATAAACACTACAGGCACATTATTTTTAACCATTTGATCGATAATATTGTCTTCGTTGATTTCTGGCGAAGCGAAATTTGAACCAATATCAATAAAAGTTGGCAAACTACCAGTTGTGAGACCTTTTAAACGTTGTAATGTTGTGGTGGGTGGATCAGCCTTAAAACGCATCATACGTGTATGTTCTGGGAACTGTTTCAGTAGTTCATGCATTATGGGCAATTTATTTTCAAAAGCCAATGGATTTATTGAATTCTCGTTAAATATTCCAAATTCATATTTGAGCGCGTCTATTAATAAAATAATTACTTTTGACTTTTGTGGAAGACATAAATTCGATGAAGCATTAACATCTTTAAAGATTTCTTGCACAATCTCTTCAGTGAGATAGTATTCCTAGTAAAATAAAAAAAAATTATATTTATATATTTAATTTAAATTATTTTATATCCTTACATCATTTGGATTTGTGGATAAACGACGACAAGAGCTGACATCTGTTTTGGACACACGCGAGAGTAGAAAACCTCGTGAAAATAGTAGCACACCAGAGCCTATCATGTACGCCAACAAGATGAGTACAAATACATAATTCCAAGCGAATTTCATTTTAATTCAATTAAATGAACTTTTGCTATGTGAATAAATACATTTATTTTTGTCTAATGATTAGCACAACCAATACTGGCGCAATCTTAGTTTACTTAGGTTAAGCCACCTCTTCTGTAACACAACAAATTGTTTGTTGTTATGGCACTTTTAACATACAAATTTGAAGTGGCTTTTTTAGATTAAATGTTAGCAAAACATATATTATATTTCCAATTTTAATTTATTCTTCCATGTTTATAACTTCACTGAACCGGACAAAACCAACTAATAAATTAAAAATAAAATTTCTTGAGTGCAACCAATGGATGGAATGTTGTGGAAACGAAACAAGTCTAACAGCTGTTCAAGGTGCAAATGCTGGCGCTGCGCTTTTTACGCTCTTTTTATTCGATTCTCTAGATTTTGATATAAGCTGCGTTTCAGCAAACAATGATCTGGATCTTTTTTGCTGAAACGTTACGGATCACATGTTAAAGTAATTGGCAACGCATCATTCATGTCAGCTATGTTTTATTACAAAACTTTATCTTAAAATTAAGAAATACTATATACAAAATATAAAAAAAATATAAAATCTGCTGAAATTTATAAATTAATACATATAAGTTTTTATTTATTTTAAAACTTTACTTATATTTTGTAGTAAATAAATGAAAATTGCAGGTTTCAACAGAATCATTGAGCGATAGTAAAACTTACTCTTCAAATCCCTTTTTAAACTCTGGTTTAAATGCATCATGCATTAGCATGGAAATATTGGGAATTTTATGCAAACTATTAATAGTTTTTCCGATGAAGATTTCAGGAAAAATCTTAGACTTCAACTATGTGCTACCAATTATTTCTATGCACACATATTCTTCATGTGTGCAAAAAATATGATCACTTTTTTATTAATTATTTTTTATATTTCTATAGATTTGTTTATAAATTCCAATTAAGAAACACAAAATAACCGAGAGAGAACGATTTATGTTTTTATTTCAAATTATTTTGTTTAATAAATTATCAAAAAACAATTTTTAATAATAATAAAGCATGAACAATTAAAGTAATCATTTTAATTATAGTAATATTTAAAACTGTACATTAAATAGATAAAACAATAAAATAAATAATAGTGACATATTAAATAAATAAATTAAATAAAAAATAAATATTAATGTGGTTTTGTTTATATTTTTTATTGCACCGTATCATATATTAAAATCGCATTGCTAACGACATTTTTATTAAAATATGTTGCACTTTTATTTTGTACATACATTCCACATTGAACCAGATCAATTGCTGGTTCACCCCATTGTTATTGTTTTGCATGTAAAATTGAGCGGAACATTGTTTGATGAAACACACCTATATTGTTAGCGTAGATATCTTCAAGTGAAAGTCTCGTACTAACACCTATTTTAAACAATAAATTGTTATTAAACTTTTAATAAAAAAGTTTTATGTAAATTTTTCATGCTAAATGGATTTTAGTACAATGGTTGTGCAGAAACTGTTTGACAGCAAATAGCGTAACAATAAGGAACCATGTATGCAGCATTGTAGCATCCAATATTTTGAATATTTTCAGCGCACTCAATTTACATACATTTAAATCTTTCTAATTCTATTATATACTTCACGCTAATAGTCTTTAAATAATATATATACATAAATATTTCAGTAATTAGTGTAAAATAAGCATTAGCTTTATATTTATATTATATAGTTCACGATAATAGTTTTATAAAATAAATTTATTTAGAAGTATACAATTTTTTGAATTTAGTTATCGACCTGCTTTTTTATAATGGTTTTTATATAGTTTTTATTCCGGCTATACGTCCGTCTTTGTTAAATAATTCAACGTTTAATATATTCTATATAAAGACTCTCAATAAAGACATTAGAATAAAGAGAATGACGTAGATATAATTTTATTAATATTAATTTAATGATTCTCAAGTAGAGACGAAATGTAGAATATAATAAAAAATACTAAACGTTTATTTAAAAATTTTAGTACTTAGCCTTATATAGAATATTGGCAGATGGCAACGCTTAAATGATCATTAAAAATATGAACTGACGGCAGTTGCTAATTATCATTTAAAATCAGCTGTGTGGTAATATTGACTTTTCAGTTATTCAGCTTGTGAATTTTGAATCAAAATGAGCACAAAACAGAAGTTAAAAAAACTGGCGGTTATTGTGTTTTTAAAAAGGCGACGTTTATTTCATCAAAAATTAAAATTATTATTGCTTAAAATAATAAAAAATCAACAAACTATAAATACACTTTTTAACATAAACGCGAACTTCATGGCAACGATGCCATTGTCTATACCCGCTGCAATTGACACCGGACAGTTGCAGGAATTCGTTAGTATAAAAATGTTTTCATGCACATATAAATGACAAAATAATTTTCTTATAGGATCGGAATAGAAGCTTTTGGGAACAAGATGTACCAGCAATGAACGATAACAAGTTCAAACAAAATTTCCGCCTAAGCAGGCAGTCCTTCAGTAAAATATGTAGAAAAGTACAAATGGTAGTTGATTCGGATAACAATGTAAGACCTTACATTGGACTGGGCAAAAAAGTGGCTATTGCTTTATTCGCGCTTGGCTCTTCAGCAAAATATAAGACTGTTGCAAGTTTATTTGAAGTAAAGCAAAGTATTGTCAATGAAATTGTGTTGGATTTCTGTAACATGGTTTGTAATATTTTTCCTCACTACATTTCCTCATATCCACCTACCACAGAAGAAATTAAGGAAACTGTTGAAGGTTTTTCTCAACTTGGTTTCCCACAATGTTTTGGAGCCTTTGGTAATTAAGTGTTAAATAAACAAGAATATTTTAAGCATAATTAAAAAATATTTAAAATAAAACAGATACCTGCCATATAGAAATTCAACCGAGTAAGGAAGAAGCTATCGATTACTGTAATAATAAAGGCTGGTATTCAGTGATTTTGCTTGCTAGTTGCGATCATAGGTTGGTTTGCGCTACGAATTCAAAACGAACACACCTAATATTATTGTTTTGTCTATTATGCTAGGTCAAAATTTACATACATTAAGGTTGGAGGTCCGGGAAGAGAGAATGACTTATATATTTTTGAAAAAAGCTCTTTAAAAAATTTTCACGAGGCAAGTAAAATCTTTACTCAGCACTCTAAATTAATAGAAAGCGTTAGGGTACCTCTATTACTTATTGGCGATTCCGCGTTTCGTTTATCACCTTATTTTATGAAACCCTACCCATACAAACTACAACAGTCAATTCCAGAAAAACAGTTTAATAACCGACTAATGAGGTGTCATAGTATAATTGAAAATGCGTTTCTACAGCTAAAATCACGCTTTCGTAAAATCGGCAGAGGCTTGGAAGTCGAACCACAAGCTGCCAATCTCATTATAAGAGCGTGCTGTATTTTACATAATTTTTTAAAAATAGAGAAAGATGAGGTGAAATCAATATGGATGAGGAATGCAAAGAAGCAAATGGCTGCATCACCTACCCAACCAAATTACAAAACAAACGCAGGTGAAAATAATGTGGAGGCAATAGCTATTAGAGATGCGATTGCGTTGAGTTTTCGTGAGTAAATTAACATAAAAAATAGTATTTATACTAAATAATATAGTATTTTTATAAAATTCTAATTCTAATCTTTATTTTTATTTAATTGAATTTCTGAATTTTTGAATTTTTTTTTGCGGAAAGAAGTGAAAAGCTTTATGCATCGTAAAGTCTACCGTCGTCGAAATGGTGTACTACAAACCTCTATCATATTAACATAATATGTAGTATACGGACTGAAACACCATTTTCGTAGGGAGTTATTTCACTTTTTCACATTTTTCAGTATATACCCTATTTTTTTTGCTTTGAGAACTTTCATTTAATAATAATAGTGATTTAATAAAATAGTAATAGTAATTTAATAATAATAATATTTTTATAAAAATAGTAATTAATATAGCAATAAATATAATAATAACAGTAATATTATTAATTATAATACTTTTAATATTAACCAGTTAATTAATTACTATAATTTTATAATAATTAAACTGCTAAGAACTAAACTTAATTACATTACTCTATTAAACTTTTCATAATTTGTAAGAATTGCTTGTCAGTCTCATTTTGGTATCTCAATAGCTGTAATATGTCTTCATTTATTTTTTTGTTGTCATCTACAACTACTCTTAATAAAGATATATTCTCTTTATGTATTTTTTTAATTATTTCTGTTTGCTCCTTTATCGCTTTTATTGTTTCATTTTGGTAATTAAATTTTTTCTTTTTTGCAGCAGAGCTGGAGGATTCATCACTATCTAGCGATGGTAACTCCCATGTTTTTGGTGATAAAGGCGAAGCAATCTCAACTGGGCTGCGTTCACCAGAGTTTAAAGAAGAGCTCTAAAAAATAACATAATATATAAATAAATAATTTATCAATAAATATTTAAATTTTTTACATATAAGAATGATTCATTTACAACATTTATTTTGGCAGAGTTTGAATTAATAATTTTATGGATTTTTTCAAAGTGTTTCCACTGAGTGTTGCTATCTCCAATAGTAGACATTTCTTTTTTCCTTTTTTCCGCCCTGTAAATGATCATTTACAATTATTTAACTATTTAAACAAAAATGTGGAAGACGTTCATACTTGTATCGGCTCTGTAAATTGTTTATTTTAGTGTTAACCTCATATGCACCAAATTTTTGACTGTCCAGTTCATCCGCAATTTTTTTACATATGTGTGCATTTCTTCTGGACTTTCGGTATTCATCTATATTCTCTTCCCATAATTCTAAGAGGCGAAACTCTTCGGCATCCGTCCACGGTTGCTTTTTCGACTTCTTCTTCAATGCACTCATCTGGAATCAAAACAAATAAATGAAACAGTCATATATCTCATTGTAATATAAATAATGTATTAAATATAAACAATTAAAATAATGTTAAATACAGGAAATACTTACAATTACTGATATTCAACACTTTGTATAAATTGTCTTACGAGTCTTAAATCCATCAACAAATTGTGTTTTGTTTCATTTTTCATTTCGTTTCATTCAAGTTAGGCAGCGTTACCAGTATTGAACACCTTAACAAACAATAAATTGTGGCTAAATCATTTAAGGTGGAGTTAGACGGTAGTTAACGTAAGATGTTAAGAAGAAACGAAATGAAAATAAACGCTGATGAACGTTTATCACTTACTCTTTTGTAAGTTACATGTACTGTTTTATTAGTAATTTTAGTAAAAATAACACGAACATTTTTTAAAGGTATTTGGCACATGGCGTCCCTTTACAGAGTTTAGCATGGCGCTATAAATTGGGAAGAACTACAGTTAGAAACACCGTGTTGGAAATGTGTGATATTATTTGGCAACTACTATCACCAATATATTTAAGTGAACCTACAGAAGAGCAATATCGGCATATTGCATCAGATTTTTGGCAAACATGGAACATTCCAAATTGTGTTGGTGCAATTGATGGCAAGCATGTTGCTATTAAATGTCCTCGGGGATCAGGTTCCCAACTCCAACCGGTAGTTGCTTGTCCTCAAGTGTAGTGAATTTCTATGTTTCTATATATATTTTTTGTACGCATGTACTTTCAAAGTAAAACAAATAAAAACATTTTTAGTGAAATATTTTTATATATAACTAATGTTTTAATATTATTTATTATTATTAAATAAGTATTTCTCTTCAATATTTATTATACCATAAATTAAATTCTTTCTACTGATTATTGATCAATATATAAGATTTTAATTATTGATATTATAAAAAAAATAATATTAACTATTATAAAATACAATTACCTATTGTAAAAATGTTAATAAAATAAATTTATTAAAATATTTTCTGCTGATTATTTTTGCTAAATAGAAATACAATCAATATTCAGCAATATTAATAAAATAATTATATAAAAAAATATAATATAAAAAAAAATTTATTAATAATCACATTCATAATCACAATATTTTTTCGTCTACTCTCGTTATAGTAAACATATTCCGCACATAATTGCAACGCATCCACCCTCATCAAGGTTTTGCGAGCAACTGAGCACAGTTTTTAAAATCGCTTAACGTCAAAACCTAATTGAATTTGATTTTTCTATAAGTTCGCCACATATGTTTATTTCGTTCCTATCAAATACACAGGTTTGGTTGTTTGTGCATTTCGCTTTGACTTAACTTCTTACGTTAATTACCGTCTAACTCCACCTTTAGACTAAAGATCAGAGAATATCTTTTATAGAATGGAAACTCCGCCCACCTCGATCAAAACTAAGAGAAATTGCTTAAGAAAATTCATTTTTTATAACATTTTTGTCACACGTATTAAATAAGTGTGATTAAACCACATTTATGCCACCAGAGAATATCTTTTATAGAATGGAAACTCCGCCCACCTCGATCAAAACTAAGAGAAATTGCTTAAGAAAATTCATTTTTTATAACATTTTTGTCACACGTATTAAATAAGTGTGATTAAACCACATTTATGCCACTTTTACGCTCTTTCATGCTCTTTCAGGGCTGCTGCATAACTTTTTTTCAACTACTTACTGTATAAGTTTTTATTGAAGCAGATATACATATAAATACTCATAAATGAATATAAGCATACATTACATATAATTTGAATATTGTTAAATTAAATGGAATTATTTACAATAACTTATAATCATGCAAAAAATTTTTGTGATTGTAATTGAGTATGTTACACAATTATTTATATATTTTTGATGTGCGAAAATAGTTCAGAAGGGTTTCATATAATATGTTGAAAGCAATTAAAATCTATTTTAGCTTGAAATTGAAAAAAATATGTTTTGAAATTAAATTCAGTATAATATCATGGTTATGTTTTCCATTTAAAAAGTTTTTTGGAATAAATTGGGTATATTATACAATGAAATTTAAAGTTATATGACATTAATATATACAATTTATATACTATTACATGCAGCATAAAATTCACATATCTATGCAAATAAATTATATACAGAAAAATAGAAATAATTAATTTTTATAATAGCAATTCAGTGTTAAGCATATCAAAAGTGATATTATAATTTATTTTACTTATTTTCAGAAATAAATAACTGAGTATATAGCATTGTTCACTTCAAGAAATATAATATTCCAAAATTTATTTAATATATATTGGATTTCGTTAGAAATTGTAGAAAATAATTTCAAAATTAAATAAATTTTTAAACAATCGCAATAAATACTAATTTTATTGCTTGCACGGCCACTCTATTATGGTGAATGCATTTTTAAAATAGAGCATTGCCTAAGAAATTTTCATTCTTATTAATTCGTAAAACGAATTTTATAATCAGTACCGAATAAATAGTTGATGCGTGAGGGTGCGCACGCATGTCAACGAGCATGGTTCGATTTCTGCCTACAAAATTTCATTTTATGATTTCGTAAAACGAATTTTGTAGTCAGTACCGAATAGGTCGTTGATGCGCAAGGGAGTGTGCGCACATCGTTAATTTTTAATAAACATTTTGTGTTAACTAATTAAATATTATAATTTGTTTTTATTTTATGTATTATTAGTTTTGGGGAAATTTTCTTAATACTTATTCAAAAAGTTGTGTTGTAAATTAATTACTTCATACTTTTTTGATGTTTTTAAAAAATTTATGTTTTTAAAAACATTTCAACATTCTTTTACTGCAAATAAATTCAAACAACATGAAATTAAATATTATAGTATTATTTTTTAGAGACACATCTAACACACACATTCGTTATCTGTTATGCATTTAATAAATATACACTTAACTCATTTATTTATATATAAATTTAATTTTTATTAAAAAATACACTTGATACAATTCATACAATACTCAAACGGTTATAGTTAGACAAATAAGTAAATATAGAATAAACATGTTTATAATAAACTTAATATTAAAAATGTAGCATCTTAAAATACTTAAATACAGTAGTTGTAAAACATATAAAAAAACAATAGTGATGGTATTTTTTATTATTATTTGCACAGTACTGAATATTAATAGACCAATACGAAAACTTGCCAAAGAAATAATTCATATTTCAAATATTTCACAGATTATAGTACAACAAATAATAACAATTGCATTCCTTCATCATCGGTTGCTGGAAATTTGTGTAACGTCTTGTAAGTGGCACAGCCTCTAACACAATGTCTCACCATCAACAAAACATTAATTTATTAATTATATGCACTAGTATTTTTAAAACATAATTATTATTATTTACTTACTTTATTATTTCAAAAAAATTTATAATTAAATCACTTTGATCATTTTTTGCTTTATACTTTTTCTAATATTGGGCGCAAATTAGTTTTACTACTTTTTTACAATCAATTGCCCGGTAATTTTTTTTTAAATATAGCGCAGTGCATTCAAATTTTTTGTGAAGAAATCAGAACAGAGAACCAAAATTATGCTCTCTGTTGCACTCATTGCCCATAAAATTTTTCTTAAGAGTAACTTAAGGTTCTTATTCGGAGCAAGTTAAGGTCCGTATTCGGAGCGAATAAGGACCTAAACTTGCTCAATTTGGAAATAATCGTACGTTTTGAGATGGTATTAGTGCAATTTCTGAGAGTGTGTTTGTTATTTTGTATTGTGCTCATTTAAGTTTCCGTTCTATATAAAATCTTCTTTGTATGCCACTTTTACGCTCTTTCATGCTCTTTCAGGGCTGCTGCATAACTTTTTTTCAACTACTTACTGTATAAGTTTTTATTGAAGCAGATATACATATAAATACTCATAAATGAATATAAGCATACATTACATATAATTTGAATATTGTTAAATTAAATGGAATTATTTACAATAACATATAATCATGCAAAAAATTTTTGTGATTGTAATTGAGTATGTTACACAATTATTTATACACTTTTCTTAGCTATTATTATATTTTTGATGTGCGAAAATAGTTCAGAAGGGTTTCATATAATATGTTGAAAGCAATTAAAATCTATTTTAGCTTGAAATTGAAAAAAATATGTTTTGAAATTAAATTCAGTATAATATGTTAATAATGTTTTCCATTTAAATAGCTTTTTGGAGTTAAAATATTCATAAATTGGGTATATTATACAATAAAATTTAAAGTTATATGACATTAATATATACAATTTATATACTATTGCATGCAACATAAAATTCACATATCTATTCAAATAAATTGTATACTGAAAAATAGAAATCATTCATTTTTATAATAGTAATTCAGTGTTAGACATATCAAAAGTCATATTATAATTTATTTTACTTATTTTCAGAAATAAATAATTGAGTATATAGCATTGTTCACTTCAAGAAATATAATATTCCAAAATTTATTTAATATATATTGGTTTTCGTTAGAAATTGTAGAAAATTATTTCAAAATTATATAAATTTTTAAACAATCGCAATAAATACTTATTTTATTGCTTGCACTGCCACTCCATTTTGATGAATGCATTTTTAAAATAAAGCATTGCCTTAGAAATTTTCATTCTTATTAATTCGTAAAACGAATTTTGTAGACAGTACCGAATAGATAGTTGATCCGTGAGGGTGCGCACGCACGTTAACGAGCATCGTTCGATTTCTGCCTACAAAATTTCATTTTATGATTTAGTAAAACGAATTTTGTAGTCAGTGCCGAATAGGTCGTTGATGCGCAAGGGTGTGTGCGCACATCGTTAATTTTTAATAAACATTTTGTGTTAATTAATTAAATATTATAATTTGTTTTTATTTTATGTATTATAAGTTTTGGGGAAATTTTCTTAATACTTATTCAAAAAGTTGTGTTGTAAATTAATTACTTCATACTTTTTTGATGTTTTTAAAAACATTTCAACATTCTTTTACTGCAAATAAATTCAAACAACATAAAATTAAATATTATAGTATTATTTTTTAGAGACACATCTAACACACACATTCGTTATCTTTTATGTATTTAAAAAATATACACTTAACTCATGCATTTATATATAAATTTAATTTTTATTAAAAAATACACTTGATACAATTCATACAATAGTCAAACGGTTATAGTTAGACAAATAAGTAAATATAGAATAAACATGTTTATAATAAACTTAATATTAAAAATGTAGCATCTTAAAATACTTAAATACAGTAGTTGTAAAACATATAAAAAAAACAATACTGATGATATTTCTTAATATTATTTTCACAGTAATATTAATACACGAATACAAAAACTTACCAAACAAACATTTCATAAATAATGTACATGCAGGTTAATCTTTTAAAACATAGATTATAATACAACAAATAATAATAATAATTGCATTCTAACCTTCCTTCACCATCGGTTGCTGGAAATTTGTATAACGTCTTGTAAGTGGCACAGCCTCTAACACAGTGTCTTACCATCTACAAAACATTAATTTATTAATTATATGCACTAGTATTTTTAAAACATAATTATTATTATTTACTTACTTTATTATTTCAAAAAAATTTATAATTAAATCACTTTGATCATTTTTTGCTTTATACTTTTTCTAATATTGGGCGCAAATTAGTTTTACTACTTTTTTA